GGCCTTTGACGCAAGTGCGCAGCAGGTGCCCAATTTGAAGCAAGGTGGAGGTCTGACAGGCCTGTCACTCTGTCTCTCGCCTCCACCGTCATCTCTTTGCTTTAATGATGTTGGGCCAGTTTTGGCTGTGGCTCTGTCAGCGTGGTAGGGTCACTGCTTTGAAGCCGGGTGAATCATCTCATGGTGTATTGATTGGCTGTTAAAAAAGATAATACATAAATTGAGGCTTGTATAGCCACCAAACTCATTAAAGGCAATAAAAGGTTGAGTTAAAAACACTACTTCAATTGGAAAGTTCTCTAACCTTTTTTTTTCTTTACCTTAGATCAAATAATATCCTAAATAAAAACTTTAAAGGCGACCTATTGTGTAAAATCCACTTTTTTCATGTCTTTTATACATAAACATGTGTCCCCTCTGCGTCAAGAGATTATCTCTCTTTTTGTCCTGATCCATATATAAAATCCTGTCTTCAAATGAGCTGATCAAATTTTGGCCACTTTATGATGTCATAACGATTTTTTGCCTTGTGTAACCATTAGCCAATCACCAACCAAGGTACCCCCCCAAAATACACCAAAAGCAGCGAAGAAGACCCCCGAGCATGGTTGCCCTTCTGTTTATGCCCCGCGGTAGATTTAGCAACATGTAATTCTCCATGTCCACTTGTTGCTGATGGTTGTGGTAGAGGAGCTGTAGATTTTGCACTAACATCTGTAGCATGGTACTGACAGTAGCTACTGACCATGCTACAGCAGTGAGCAGCAGAGGTGGGGCTATGGCTTCATCGTTATCAGGAAATTATCGTATAGGGCGTAAACAATGAGCCGTTTGGTCCCCCAGAGCGTTCCGTTTGCAGATCTATCCACCTTTGGACCCGTTATTGTTTACGGGGTCCGGTTCCGTTACGGCCTCGTGTGAATGAACGGGCTATACACGAGAGAAAAGTAGCAGATACAACCCGTTTCGTTCTCGTGTAAACACCGCCTGAATCTCCTCCTAGACCTAGAGCAACATTGTGTTCTTTTCAACCAAATATCTCTCAGAGGGGAGTGGCTCCTTATTTCCATCTAAAGTAACAGACAGGGGCCGTTTCTCAATGTCTCACTCGATGACGTAGTATACTTGAAATAGTGGCTCTGCAGCAGGTATACTCGACATTGAGAAACGGCCAGTGAATCAGCACTTTTGAAACAGGGGTGAAACAGAGTGGATTATGGGATGCTGCAATGATCTGTTTGGTATTTGGAGCCAAATACTTCAGAGACATGTTTTGTATATATCTGAGACCTATAATATATTGATGAAAAACAGTATAATAGGGGACCTCTAAAGCCATTCCCCTGCTATGAAAGGAGATTGTCCAATCAAAGTTCTCCAAGTATATTTAGGCCTGGCACAGCTATTTAGCTACAGTGCTACATTCACAGCTATAATGTTACTGCTAACTTTATAACGTTACTGACCTTCACATGCATGCTGGACTGCCGCCTGCCATCTGCCTTTCAATACAAAACCCTAAAAGGTTAATGTTAGCCTGGCAGACCCACACCTGACAACCTGGCTTAACATTACTGGGGAAGTGGCAACATGTGTCCACAACAGAGCACGCAACATTGTGCCTGATAACTCCCCCCGACAGGTGAACCTGTTACTCGGGCGTCTGTTTTCTTCATATTCTGCAGCTGGCGATAAATGATGGATACAACCCGTTTGTATATCAATTATAGTTGCAGCTTGGTGGCATGTTATAGTTGCCACATTCATTCAAAGCACTACTCTTTCCGGCTGATTTATGATCAGTTAAATATAAAAACAATTGACAGTAAAATAATTGCAAAATCGTGGCACTGTGAGAACTATCAGTCCTGTTTATCCGCTCTTGTAGGCTGTAAACGTTAGCGTGTTGTGACGAAAATATGAGAATGATATATTAATAAATAAACTAAAGAGGTGACGAATTAGGCTTACTGGTGATAAGACGAATAATACTAGAATAAAGTTAATTTTTTTAAATTAAATTCATTGGAGGTGAAGGACAACATGAAAGGAGATGTGTGTAATTGCCATTTTAATTTAATTAATTGATCCATTCATTAAAAAAAATCCAATTCAATCAAGATAATGGATGAATACAATTTTAATTGCTATTACTTACTAAATTGTCCCACTTTATTTTAATTAAAAAGTAAGAGTGAATTATTGATATTTTTAAATCATCGTGTGTAAAGGACAAAATAAATAGTTATCTCTATATCGAACAATCTTTATTGATACATATTTTAGACTTCTCTTTTACTAACCTTTGTTGGTTTCCATAATGAAAGAAAGAAGTATATATTTTCTGGAAAGAGCACCTGACGCAGAGGGATTTAAACACACTGGAAAAGATAAAACTTTATTTCTCCCTGTCGCGACAATACAAAGTCAACAAGTGTAATAACAATCCAACTGAAAACGGTACTGATCATTCTATCTAAATACATAGACAGAACGTGGTGCACATCATCATCATCTCCTCCACACCCAACAAGTGAGGTATCAACCACTACAAAGCTTCTGTGTACAGGTGGGTATTCAACTGTAAGGCAACTGTCACCAACCTGGAGAGACTGAAACACACGTGTGCTCTCTTCTTCCCATACATTTTTTTTATACATGTTGTTTTATTGTTTATTTGGGAAGCAGTTTGAGCTGATATGATTTACAGTACCACATCATCACAAACCAGGCCAGAGTTTTTAAACAAAACAGAAAACATCACAACTTTAACATTTTAGGAAATACGTGAAATCATCCATTTGTGGACCCTGCTACTTCTTGTCAGAGGCAAATTGAAATTATTTTTCTTCCCTGCGTGTGACTATAACGTTATTGATGGTAAGAAAAGACCTTCTTTGCCTTTTATTGTAGGTCAGAAAATGGAGCATAAACCCTGAAAACCATTACTCTATACATGTTACATTTCCCCCACTCATCCAGCATTATCCTCTTCTTGCTACTCCCCGTTTACCTCTTCTGTTCACACTCTGGGAATAAGGAGGCCGCTACAGAGAGCAAGAGAGCTTAATATATAACTGCTAATCCCTGGGCCAATTATTTCACATGGACACATCCTATTTCTTTGCCCCTGAAAGCACAAGTCTGCTGGGGCGCACACGTAATTACACTTTAGCCATTTGAATGTGAATGAACTTGCTTTAACAACTCGGCAAATGTGAATTTTATTGCTGATAACTGGGGATGAGGCCTGCAGCACATGAGTTCTGTTCAGAGGGGTCATGAAACATAAAAAGGACCATTAGGCGCGTTCACACCGAAGTACTTTTCCCTTTTAGTTCCGATAGTTTCTGGGATTTTGCGTTCACACCAAAAAGAGAACTTAGTTCATGAGAACTTTTCAGTCCCTGCTAGAGAGGTGGTACTTACTTTCCTGGGGAGACAAAAGTTCCAATTTCTGATTGGCTGGGCGAACTACGCCCCGTAAAACTCTGAAAAGTTTTGTGAAGCCGCCATTGTATTTGCTGGCATTAGCATTAGCCCAGCACACCAACGGAGAGAGACTAATTTATGGCAACACAAAAGAAAACATGGGAGCGTTGGAGTGATGGCGTTCTGGCGATTTACTCGGAAGGCTTCAGTAGAAGCTGCTGGGAGTCTTCCCAGCAGCTTCTACTGAAGCCAGTCCCCAACTCCGGGGACTTCGGGCGGCAGTATACGCCGTGAAGTTGTTTGCGGCCTGCCAGTAAACCCAAAGCAGAAGAAGAAGAAGTGACGTCAGCGGCTTCATTTGCGTAATCTTCCCTCAGGGACTTATTCCGGTGTGAACGCGATCTGCTCTTTAGTTCCATGGGGGAACTAAGTGCTGGGAACTAAGTGCTGGGAACTAAGTACGGCAAAAATACTTGGCGTAAAAGCGGCTAATATGATGGCGAGACCCCAACTCTCATGTCTGGTTTATGGCCAACTCCTAACGATTAACGGCATCTCCTGTTTCAGCGAGGACATTTCACATTCATATTACATACAGGCTCAGCAGCTGCCATTGCAGATGCAAGATTGGGGCCGACACCTTCTTCCGACCTACCGTCTGTCCACCTGCTCGTCACATGCTGCCGCTCATATTCAGTCTGGCACCCACAGCTGCTTTATCTCGTAGACCTATCTGGATTACAGATCATTTATCTCATCAGTTATTAACGATTTGGGCCTGATGAAATCACTGAGCTGAAATGATAGTCAATGTATCCATTTGTCCAGCAAACTGGATTTGGTTAATCAATGTGTCGATTTTGTCAAAAATTAGGATTTGCTGCTTTTCTTTGTCTCCTATAAAATCAATTGAATATCTTTAAAATATTGGTTGTACAATAAAGGTCATTTTAAACTCTCCCCAAATAGTTTAAAGCATTTTTAACTATTTTGTAACACTTCAAAGAGCAGATCATGTATTAATAAATTCATCAAATAATTGCCAGACTTCAGTAATTAAAACAATCTTTAGTTGCAGCCTATTGTCAATTAGACCATTTATTAATTATTCAAGTAAGTTAGTGATTTTACATATGGAAAGGATTGTTATCTTTATTTAATCATATCGAATAATATAACTAAACATTATTGGAGTTTTGGACCTGCTCTCAGGCTGTTGTAAATTATAACATGCAGTTTTATTATTCTCTCAGAAGTTATCGACCAAATGAGGAATGAAACATATCATTAGTTGCAGCTCTAAAGTGAAAGTATATATTTTTTTATCCTTTTTATAAAGCTAATAGAGAATGAGTCGGAGACCTTTTTTGATACGAGTTCATTATCCTGAAATACTGTATGCCCTTTTCATTGAGTCCTTATTACATTTAAATCGTCCTGAAAGCTCTGCGATACACCTCAATGATTACCCAGCGCTCATTTGGACGGGCGCCTCTGACTTTTACACACCATGTCATCATTCTGATTAAGATGGCGTACATTATTGCTGACAATGAAAGGGGTTTTAATGGGTTTTTTACATTTTTTTTTATTATGGCTAATCGCTTACAATTGTCTATTTACCAGTGTGGGATAAAGAGCTCTCCTTATAATGGAACCAACATATTCATTTGCATCATATTACTAATGGAGTTGTTTTTCAGGCAGCTCTGGTAATGAGGAAGGGCAAACAAGTCAATGGATGAGTTTCCAGAGGCGACTGTCTCACACTAACTAAGTAATGCTCTCAAATGGGTCTGTAGGCTCATAGCCAAGGATTCATGTTTAACTTAGCATGAAGCTCTTTGCTGTTGTAAAGGCATCCCTGATCCTCATTCATTGTTTGGATGAATAACTTATTGAGAGTGGACATCCCTTTCCTCAGCATCACAAACCGAAAAGGAGAAATATTGATGACCTAATGTAAAACCTTTAGATCTACAACAGTTTATCTGTATGGCCTTGTGTCCTTGTCAGACACGTTACAATATAGAGAGAACACTTCATACAAGATATTGTTTTTCAACATGGCTGCAGAGACATTTTGTGTCTAGTTTCAGTAAGTAACAAAAACACTCTACTCTAGTGAGATGCTCAGCATCAACCTAAGCTGTTACATGTTCCCGAATGTCAACCACTCATATATTTCTCTGACTACTTCACATAAATAAATCACCAAATAGATAACCAACATCGTGTCTAACTGCTACTGAACACAAACTGACACAGCAGTGTAATAAACATGTTATATTTAGAAAGATGAGCTCCTCGCTTCATGTGGGTACAGTTGATCCAGTTCAGCTCGGATCTGTTGGAGATGCTCCAGGCTTTGGCAGCCTTTTCAGGGGATCACTGAACACCTGTGAGCATTTCAATGTGTCGCTCCTCTGCTATGGCAGCAGCAGTACGCTCCTCTGTGTCTCCGGCAGCTTCTGTTCAGCTGAGTTTCTTACTGCCATATCAGTCTGTTAGTCCAAGGGGGTTTTGTGCTCATTAGAAAAGGGCAGCAGTCACTTCTTCCTACTACAGTATGGCTAACCCACCACTGGTGTTGAGTCTGTGGTCCAGAGAGGGGGCATCGGGGGTGGGGGGTGGCGTCTCCTCTGTACCACCAAACGAAACAAGGTGTTGCTACTCTTCAGTTTGTCCACTGCAGCATCGTTCTGTTCAGAGAAAAACAGAAATTGAGCATAAATGTTCATTTTTACAAACAAAATCTTATCACAAGGTTCACCTTATACATTTAGCTGAAGCTTGAAACCACAATGGCTTGGACATATCTTAGCAGCTTGAGTTGCCTTGTCATGAAGATGGTGTGGATATTATCATTTGACCTAAATCAGGAATGTGTCCTTTGAAGAGAACAACTAAGGATTATTTTCATCATCAATTTGCTCATTCTTCTTTTAGATCAATCAATTTTTCTTTCTATTAAATGTCCCGTCAAATAAAGAACACACTCTCTAGGATTACTTGCATACTTAGACGTTTCAAGTATATCCTACGAATGGATAAGAGTGAACCCTATTGAGAAATGGAAGAAAATAAATGAAGGCCTTATCATTGCTTCATCCTCTCCAAACTGACATGTTTAGCCCCGACTGCATGCCTGCGTCATGACATTACACCGTGTTGCCACATGAGTTGTTTGGGAAAAACCTGCCGGATCCTTTTGAACAACACGGACATGGGTTTTAGTTGCACGGCTGAAATCGTCTCTGATCCGGATCGGTTGCTTAATAATCCACATTGGTCTGTTATATAACTGGATAATCAGTTCAAGGCCTGAAAAACACAAAAACTAATAAAACGAGGCAGCTTTGCTTTTCAAAAAGCAATCAGATTTACAGGAATATTTTACAAGTCTGTAAATCTTGTAAATACTTTCAGCCCACCCCAACTCTATGAATCACATCGCACCCAATTCTGCCACCCACAATAATGCAACTATAGATGGGAAAATAAAAGTTTCCACTTGAAGGTTATTCTAATGCACTCGAGAGAAATGACCAAACTGAAAAGTAAATGTATGCCAACTGATCTAATAGTAATACAAACATATAAATAGCTGCTACCTGACTTGCTCGTGGCCATGCCAAAAGTCATTCTCAACTTTGAAGGAGCTAATCCCTTTCTCATGCACTTTCCTTTTCGCCTGAAGCAGAACTCTGTCCATGGCTGCCTTTGTAGCATCTATGATGTTAATTAACTCACACCACATGGAGAGTGTTGCTTTAATTGGACAAGGCCTTGGCATGCTGCTCTGTCGACGCCGGACAGGCCAGGAATAATTTCATAATGCACAATTATATTATAACCACAGAACCACTGAGTTCAAAGATGGATGTGAATATGCAGGAGGCTTTGATCACGCTCTGACAGAGAAAATACTTTGGGGAAAAAGATGTGATGCTGTTTCAGTTGCTGATTGAAGTCAAGTGTCATTTCCCCACTGAGTGCTTTTGAATGTGTTGAGATGGTTACCTAGGGCTGCTCAATTAATCGTATTGTAATCGTTACGATTTTGGCTTGCAACGATTATGAAAACATTATATATATATTTTTTGTATTGGTTTTTCAGTTGAATTATATTTAACATTCAGGGTAATCAACTGTTAAAGACATACCGTTCACATTTTATTTTTCAATAAATGGATGTTTTAAAAGTAAATAATCGTTTTTAATAATCGTGATATCAATTTTTGACCCAAATAATTGAGATTATGATTTTTGCCATAATCAAGCAGCCCAATGGTTACTGTACCTACAGCCAAAGTTATGGAGACTCCATTTACTAGACTGAGTGATAACGTTGAGTCACAGGGGTCTGACAGTAAGAGGCAGTGTTACGGTGGCTGGTGAGTCAGGTATTTGTTGAATGTGTCGACCGATGCCATCCTCACATGAACCGTGGCTGAGCTCAGCTGGCCCAGGGAGATACCAAGCCTGAGTCAGTGGGCGGTTACTGGCACGAGGTGCTGCTGCAACGCGGTGCCAAGTGATTTATGAATCTCCAAGAGACTCTTTGACGTGTCCTGGTTGATGTGCAGTGGTGCCATTTGATGTTGCCCAACATCTCAATTCTCCCACTTTCATCTGTGGTTGATCCTCAGCATACATTAAAACCAAGGTTGAACTAACCGGCAGCTATTCCCACTTATCCTCGAGGGTTGTTAGGAGGATATTAGGAAGCCCATACCAGCTGACATTGGATGTTAAGCAGGGGAAACCATGGACAGGTCGTAATCCCAATTCTTCCAACGAACGAGTAAAGAGGCAGCTTATGTTTTATCTTGATTTAAAGAGATATTTTTGCACAGCAAGTCTTGATCGGCACTGACTAAAGACATTCTTCAATGATTTTAAAATATGCAGTAAAGCCAGACTGAAAATACAGCAGCAGATCAGACATTTCCTGCAGTTCTGAGAGAGGATAGTGTCAGAGTGAGCGAACTAGGAATATAAAATAGATATAAACGAGATTCTCACTGCCAGCCTTTTTCTTTTGGAGTCAAGATATCCAGATGTTGCTGCTGCTCCCCAGTACCACTTATTATTTCTCGAGGTGGACTACTAGGCAGAGAGGGTTGGCACAAACTGGGATCCCGGCTAAACTCTAATGTCCTCATAGCCACGAGTGAACAACCAATCAGTGCTGCAGGGCACTTAATGGCGATAAACAGGAACTGCTGAGTTTATCGCCGTTTTAAGGGTTACATGAGAGCCCTGCCAGGATGTTTTTTTTCTTCCTGTGCCAATTTCATAGCTTAGCATAGTGGTCACTTGTCATTTATCTGAAATTCCACCACGGCCCTGTCAGACAAGCTCAAGCAGCCCAAAATAACTCTCGCCAGGTGTGTATTCACATAAATGAATAGTTCTACACTTTGCTTATTCCCTCTTTAGTCGAGAGTTAATTGAGAAGATGCATTCAAATATGCTGGAACAAGCAGCAGCTTGTTTAAAGACTGAAAACCACCAGCTTGGCTCTGTCTTATTGTAACAACATCTGCCAACCAACCACATTATCATATCAAAATGTTAATTAGTTAAAAAATGAACTCGGTCCACCTGATGAAGCACTGTGTGCTTGAGAGGTCTAAAGCTCTCTAATTAAAATGTTCATTTAAAAATGATGCCATACAACACAGTGATGTGGAGTTGACGGGGTGGATGCTTTAACAATGTATCAACTAACAGTGTCACTGATTCGTTACATTTAAGGTGTCTTCTGAGCATTCATAACAATACATCTGTTTAATTGCAGTTTTACCTTTTGTGCGATATGTTGCCATCCAAACACAAATATGTGGATATATTTATATATTTCTTTAACCAAAATTATATTTATTTTTCTTATTAGCTGAGCTAGTCTACAATCTTTCAACTGCAGAAGTGCCTCATGTGATACTAATATCACTTATCAATCATTGAGTGGGATGGTGCTGCCATCAGGTGCCACATTACCCTGAGAGTAAACTCCCATCTGCTGTCAATTTCCCGCTCATAAAAAAACAACGCATTCTTCCATCCAATCAAGTGACCGTAATGTCTGGCTTAGCAGACCTGCAGTTTTTTCTCTCACCTGGGTCGCACATCTCTTACTGAACAATGACAGTAGTTAACTTTATTTTATTTGCTCAAACTGGTACGAAATAAATTAGGAGATTTCATTCAAGAGTATCCGCAGAGTGAAGATAATGACGGTTTCGCAGGACGCCCACACTGAACTTGAGCACTATAGGCTATACCAGCTCGCTGACGTAGAAATATGGTAAACAATTTTCCCACACGCTGAATGCCAAGCTTAACTTTCTCTGAATAAATAGATCATTGCATGTGGAAAAATGTTTTGATACTTTTGATGTTGCTGTGCGACTGGGTTGTTTTTAGATGTTGCTGCGCCCGATGTGGGACTTGACCCCATCTCTGTTTGTTTACATTTGGCCAACAGATGTTCAAGTGTAAGTGGACCCAGTTTTCTGAGACATTACGCTACGTCTTCTCTGGGGATGAAGATCCCTACCCCCGCAAAGAAACCAAAGCCGTCTGATGACGCACTGTGTGGGCAATATCAGCTGTGGTGAACTTACAGTATCACCCATTGTAACTTAACACATTAAACAAATCACAGAAGCATTATCTAGATTGTGAGAAGTGGTTCGCCTTGTGAGACTGCCAAAGTCTATTCTAGGCTATTCTTGCCCCAGAAACGGCTGGTGACTTAATTTATCTCCCAGTATCTGTCAATTTCTCTGGCGGGGCTTATCTAATAATATGCATAGCTATTTGTAAAAATGCTCCTGCTTATTAAAAAGCCCACACCGCTTTCCATGTGTAAGTATTTCCCATCAATCATTGTCCACATAAATAACAACGAACTTTACGTGTTCTCATTTTTTTGTCCCACTTTGTAAATGAGCATTTTGCTGTGATTTCAATCACCGTTTTTAAAGACTTCCTCTGGTTAAAGCTGCAGAGCTGCCAGCAAAGGTCAACCTCACAAGGCCAGGATTGATGAGTCCTATCACATTGAACTGACTTCATGTCTAACGAGGAGGCTCCATGGGTATGTCTAGTGTTAGTTAACCATGTTTCCACCAGCAAAGCAATCTCAGGATCCCTCTGCAGCATCTCAGCTCGCCTATCTATGGCGCACACAGTCCAGACTGCTTCTCAAAGCCATTTGTCAAACCTCTGCCCGCATTAAATTATCATGACCCAAGAGAGATGTCTACCTCTAGGAAGAGACGCTGAGCCTCAGTCTAACAGATAGGGTGCAAAGTGCTGCAGATGGAGAACTGCATGAAAAATGGTCTGCACATAAATGTGGATTGGGGCAGACTCTATGATCGTGTGGCTGTATCATATAAGTCTGAGCACTGTGTGTCTGCCAAAAGAACAAAAAGTTCCCGGGGGCTGTTATATGTTACAGTTCCCTCCTGGCATCGTAAATCATCTTGTATGTTTTAACAAGTCACACGCAGCCAAAAACACCTTGAGACTCCCGTGACTGTTCTCAAAGGTAATACAAAAATATAAACTGAAAGGACAGCAGATGATGCTTTGCAACAGAAACTCTGTGAAAGGGCTCTAATGTGACTCAGGTTAAATCAAAGTAAGGGGCCTCTGGCGGGCAGCGCAGCTTTCACATTATTCAGTTCTCTTTTATTCATTAATGATGACCTAATGAGCTGGTCAGACTTAAAACCCAAATGTCTCCATTAAAAGGATCTTGATGTTGAGGCAGTGCAGCTATTCTGAGATGAAAGACAAATACAGATCAGATGCTTTGCAGAAAAGTATCCATTAGTGGGCGGTGAGGCAGAATTCTTAAAATATTGATAAAGTCTGTTTCCCTTACTCTGAGGAGGGAAGCTATTAAAATGACTGAATTCTTTACCAGTGAGTTGCTATGATTCAGGAACAGATTTAGCATTATCCCTGGTAGGCTATTATCGTGTGTGTGTGTGGTGTGTGTGTGTGTGTGTGGTGTGTGTGTGTGTGTGTGTGTGTGTGTGTGTGTGTGTGTGTGTGTGTGTGTGTGTGTGTGTGTGTGTGTGTGTGTGTGTGTGTGTGTGTGTGTGTGTGTGTGTGTGTGTGTGTGTGTGTGTGTGTGTGTGTGGTGTGTGTGTATGTGTGTGTGTGTGTGTGTGTGTGTGTGTGTGTGTGTGTGGTGTGTGTGTGTGTGTGGTGTGTGTGTGTGTGTGTGTGTGTGTGTGTGTGTGTGTGTGTGTGTGTGGAATTTTAAAGGAGTAAACGGGGAGCCTGATGTTTGAGCTTCCTCCCTGTTGGCTTGGGAAAAGTATGCAAGAAATGCTCTAATTTGTCCTGCTAGACACACTGTTCCCTGCCATGCTGCTCTCTCTATGTAACAAAACATTCAGTTCAAAGACAAACAGACACACATGGAAACGAGACATGGAGGGAACCTGTGTTTAAAAAAAGAAATGTAAGAGAACATTTCTTATAGGGGCATTTGAGTTTCTTTCTAAGCATCAGATACACTTTTAAAATAACAAATCTCTGCACTGACATGCTTGTTAGAGTAGGGCAATTTATATTCATAATATATAGTCACATAGGGTAGAACATTCTGCAGGTTGGCGGTGGTCATGTGACGGACCGTGACTCACCATGCGGTGGATGTGTTGTAGGGCAGCAGTGTGGGGCTGTGGCTCTCCCCTCTCAGGCTGTTTCTGGGCTGGTAGTGGCTAGAGACGGTGGGGGGGGCTTGAGCCGGGGCCTCGCTCTCCTCCGGCATGGACCTGTGCCACTGACTGCGAGCCTTCTTCAGCCAGCGCCCGCCCAGACCCCATTTCTCCAGGTACACCCGGCACAGCTCATAGTTTATGGCGGAGTAGTAGAGAAAGTCCAGCGCCAGCAGCACCATCACGAAGAAGCCGTAGATCCACACGCCGACCAGGGCTGTATAATTACTGCGGGGGAGACAGACGGGGGGGGGGTATTAGTACTATTAATCTGGGAAAGATGATGATGAACACTCACATGCTAAGAGCTACCATCCGGAAACCATCGTATCCCAAAAGCTACGTCAGAGCTGCCAGTTGTAAATGTTTGCCGTTCATCAAATGCTCCCTTGATAAAACAAATACATTTTGAAAAACCCTACATCTGTTCCAATTGCTGCTTTTTAAAACTTCACGATTTAAATTGCAAAACAAAGTCATTAGCACAAGACACCTCTTAATCCATTTTATACTGGCTCCAGAAATAGCTACCCGAGAAATATGAGAAGCATCATTTGCCAAAACAGGGTTGCTAAATATCTGGGTGTGATGTCTTTGTTTCTGTGCTGAGGACATTTAGTTGAAAATTGTCACACAAATTGAAAGGGACTCTATTACACAGAATAAACAATTATTAATCTGACTCCTCGACAGAGATGACACACGACATTATTTAAAAATAAAGCTTAATAAAGTGGGAAACTCATCTTTTATGTCATTACGACACAGTTTGCAATTTGTATGACTGAAACTCTCACAAAAAGGTGATGTTCAAGGGCTTCTAGTTGAGTGAATAAAGTGAATCCACTCCTGTCTGCAAATGATAGGTGGCCTCGGGATATTTATCTAAAGATGTGGATATAAAATGAACATCTGTGTGAATGAGCACCTAGAGAGACTAATACTCCACTACAACAGTAAATGTGTCCTTAACTGCCGTTTGCCTTTCTTCACCTCAGTGTTTAAGACCCCGGCCACACGAGGACGAAAACGGCTAAACGCATAGGATTAACGCAAACGCAATCGCAAACAAGCTTCCGTCCACACGCAATAGTTATCCGGATAGTAGGCTTGTTTGAGACGCGTTGCGGCTCGCCTCGAAAGTAGACGAGAATAGCCGATCGCAGCCGGGGGAGGTCTCAAAAAGCTCGCCTGAAGTCGGACAGCTCGGAGTCGGCTTCTTCATCTTCTTCTTCTTCTTCTTCTTCTTCTTCTTCTTCTTCTTCTTCTTCTTCTTCTTCTTCTTCTTCTTCTTCTCTCGGTTTTTTGGCGGATTGCAAACAACTTTAAGGTGCATACCGCCACCTCCGGAGTCGGCTTGACTCGGTTTGCATTTATAAAGAATGCACACATGTGTTTAATCGTTAATGTCAGATATGTACTAAGTAAATACATTTGTTCCTGCTCAAGATTAGATTCAACTTTATTGTTATTGCACATATTACAGGTACTGAGACAACGAAATGCAGTTTAGCTTCTAACCAGGGGCAGCAAGCAGTAAAGTGAAAAGTAATGTACACAATAGACAGAATAAAATATAGAATGAATTGAATGATGAATAAACAGTGAGGGGTGTGAATACACTAGATATCAGCCTGTGAGCAGTATGAACAGTGTGTATGAATATGCTAAGATATATAAAGTATGAAAACGGTAAGCAGTGCAAGTATAGTATAAAATATATGGATATTAATTTCATTATGATAAACATTGTGGAACAATGATGAAAAATGGGAATGGATGTGGCGACGTAAAACTGACACAAAACAACAACAAACTTTTGCCGAGCCAATTGGAGAGTTTCATCACCAGCACGTGGTAAAAACCACCAATGAGCGCTCAGCTACTCAGATACCAGCGAGTCGTTTCCCATCAAGCATTTCGCTTCCGCAGCCCGTGGAGAGGAACTGCGCCGCCTCGCCGCGCCTCGCTCTCACGGCTGCGGGCGTCTTTGTCCCGCGAGATTTCAACGTCTCATGTAGGCGGGCCTCCAGAGCAAGTCGGACAAAATGACTAACCATCATGCAACGCACTAGCAAGACGTTGATCTCAACTGCGCAGGTCTGCGCAGATCTCGCTTGTCTCAAACAAGCCTGATGTCTGCCCACATGAGACCGCTCCGTTTAGCTCCAACCGCTGGAGAAGCTGCAGTACATATGCAGGAGCCTGTACGTGGCGCTGTAACTTCCTCCACAAAAGCAGCGAAGAAGCATGGTTGTCATGGTTGCCCTTCTGTTTATTCTCCGCGGTGGGGGCCGAGGGAACCTGGCAGAGTTTTTCGCCAGTCAACGTGTATTAAAGTTTAAACCTTCCGACAAAATTATAAAAGTGCCGGTCAAAGGTCTTCTTTGCTATTTATTGAGCTTTAAAACAAATGAATAATGACTCTATATAATATAATAATAAAAATACACGGAGCCTCTCTTTTTCCACCCTCTCTTTGGACAGCGTCAGTGTCTGTTTCATGCAGCAGCTGATCCAGTAATGAGTGACCCGGCCGACAGTAACAATAAACATATTTATAACTAGGTTAGGTAGTTTGAGAGGTGTCTCCGTCCTGTCAGATTAGACTTCACTCGCGTTTATGTCCATATCGAGAGAAAGATAAATAATCTGAATTCAGTGTGCAGTTTACTTTGACGCGGGGGTGAGCAGCAGAGGTGGGGAGAGGCGGGGCTATTGCGCAATCATTATCAGAAAATGATCGCTGAAGCTGCAGTACATATCCACAAAAGCAGCGAGTAAGATCCCTCCCGGATGTGTAAGTCTGCTGTAGATGTTGCACAAAGAACTGTAGCATGGTCAGTAGCGTCCGGAGCACGATAGCAACTCTGCGATCCGCCATTGTTGTTGTTGGTGGTGGCGAAACACATCAGCAATGGCGCGGGGTACGCGGAGGTGAGCAGCAGAGGTGGGGAGATGCGGGCTATTGCGCAATCATTATCAGAAAATGATCGTATAGGGCGCACACACGGAGCTGTTTGACCCCCAGAGCGTTGCGCATGCCGTTCTATCCACCTTGGGACCCGTTATCGTTTCCTCAGTCGTTTAGTGCCGTATGCGGTCGTCCTCGTGTGGCCGAATGGTCTATATGACACTAAACAGTAACGCAAACGGCCGTTTTTGTCCTCGTGTGGCTGCAGCCTAAGACATTTACTCATAATATAGTGTGTGTCTACTCAGGTAATTTGAGGGGGCAATAGGCTCTATTTGAGTGGAGCTTAGCAAACAAGAATTTGTGCACAGTCCTTGGCTACATCGATCATGGCCACACAACTAAAACAAATGTTATTCAATATTTTACACGGCTCCCTCAGAGAATGAAGCAGAGGCAATTGATTTTCTGTCAGAGGTTTCTAGCAGTTTGTGTTTCTAGCAGTTTGTGTTTCTTTACGACGGATCATGTCATTGTGCAATACCTCTTCCACTCTGAATCTATTCTGATTCTGCATCCTTTTCAGGTACTCTGTAACTAAATGGAGAGCTATATGCTACAAAGCACTGACTTGTGAAACCCTCAGAGGACAACCGCCTTTAGTGTTACCTTGAAGTGGAGTAAAATATAAAGCTATAATACAATGTCCTCCATGCAGTTTGAGTAGAGTTATGGCCTGTTTAACTCTCTTGGCCAGAGGTAAATATCAAACCTGCAGTCCCTTTGCCCCAGTGAACCAGGATGAAAGAGTGGCATAACAGGCCATCTGACGCTTAAATGAAATATCATGACCTGCTGCAGGGCAGTGTGAGCCACCAGAGACAGAGGCATGCTGGGAGGGCATTAGTACACACGGCTGAGAGCTGCCACACAACAAGAGGATCATTTTTCTGTGTCATTCATTCCTAAATCTGTGGATAAATGGAGGGATGGATGGCTAGATAGATAGAAAGACATAGATATACAACTAGATTGAAGATAGATAAATAGATAGATATATAACTAGATGGATGGATACACAACTACATAGGTAGATAGATGGATAGATATACAACTATGTAGAGGTAAACAACTATGCATAGATATACAACTAGATAGATACACAAGTACATAAATAGATATACAATTAGATGAATGGATGGATATATATATATATATATATATAATAGATAGATATACATACATACATACAACTAGATAGATGGATAGATCGATGTACTTTATTTTCCATCACAAATTGGGATGTTTTGAAAATAACGATTAAGCATCTCGGCAGGTATGTGTGTCCTCTGTAAAAAAAAAAGAAAAGAAGAAATGTGAAGTGTGGTTCACTATTAATCATTCTTGCCGGTGTCTGTACTAGACGTGATCCTTACGGCCCGTCCACACAGCGGCGTGCGTTGAAGCTTGCCGGCGGGCGTGTCTGAAACTCGACCAACAACCTATCACATTAATCTCCCGCCCTGGACACACAAGCATGCGGTTTGATTGGCTAGAGCTTGTACTGGCATATGATTTGATTGGCTGGCGCTTCCGTCGACGCTTGAAAAGTTGAACTTTTCTCAACTTCCGAAGCGAGCAACGGATGCAACGCGAAGCGATGGAACCACAATGCAGTTCGGCAAAGCCTGACGTCACCTCCGTTGAAGCAACGCACGCTGCCGTGTGGACGGGCCGTTAATATAAAAGCCAGCACTTAACACCTGCCTTTGTGTGAGATCAAGTGGAGGCGTCCCAACACAACAACGGCTCTCAGCATCTGCTCTTCTCTGAGCTGGTTTGAATGCCTCTGTATGTGGATCGATGTCAACAAACCCTCTGAGTAAGAGGCAGACGGTGTCAATGAGTGCGATACTGTCGAGGGAGCGAAGCGTTTGTGAGCAATCGGACTATAACCAGCTGTTTTTATCGGATCTGAATAAGTGTCATCTCTGAAGCTGTTTGTTCCACTAGAGCAGTGGTTCTCAAACTTTTTCTGTCATTCCCCACTTTGAACAGGTGGGCCTTTTCAAGCCCCACCTGTTCCTCATCGCTCCAATAAAATGGTAGGCCAAGCTGTTCTATAACAGGGGTCTCCAACCTTTTTATTTCAAAAAATAAAACAAGTCGTGAGCTACTTTTACACCTCTTTTTTGTTTTTTTGCAGTGTATATATTTAGCACATTTTAACATTATTATATGCTACCTTTAACCTTTGAGTGCTGTTTGGGTCTGTGGGACCCGTTTTCAGTGTTTACTAAAATAAAATGTATGCAATTTAATTATTTTAACCTGCTTTATTTGGTGGTGGACGTCACATCCTCTAGGGTCCGGGGGCATGCACCCCCAGGAAGATTTTTTTTAAATGTTGAAGTTAAAATGCATCAATCTGGTGCACTTTGAGCTAGGGCTGCTCAATTAATCGTATTTTAATCGCAATTACGATTTTGGCTTGCAACGATTATGAAAACAACATAATCAAAATAAAGCGATTTTATTTATTTTTTAAATAGGGTTTTCAGTTGAATTATACTTAAAGTTCAGTGTTAAAAACATACTTTTCAAATTATTTTCTTCAATAAATTGATGTTTTTCAAAGTAAATGGTTAATCGTTTTTAATAATCGTGATATCAATTATTGACCCAAATAATCGAGATTATGATTTTTGCCATAATCGATCAGCCCTACTTTGAGCCCAACATGAATTTATGGATACAGCTCTCAACACTCAGATGAAAGGGAGCTGTATACTTTTCAATAATCCAAACATCTTTAGAATATGATCACAACAAATCCTTTAAACTTGTTTATTCTTATCTTATGTTACCTAGTTAGCATTCTTTCTTTTTATTTATGCATATTTGACTAATCCCTACCCTTTTAAACTTTTTACTGTCCTATAGTACACATTGGAATGATTTCTTACTTTATTTTTTACAACTTTATTAAATAGATAAAGGTGTGCTCGCTCTCTCTCTCTCTCTCTCTCTCTCTCTCTCTCTCTCTCTCTCTCTCGCTCTCTCTCTCTCTCATCCCATCTCTCTCTCTTCTCGTCTCTCGTCTCTCTCTCTCTCCCTCTCGTCTCTCTCTCTCTCTTCTCTCTCTCTCTCTCTCTCGCTCCTCATTGCTTTTCTTCCCGACTGCAACGCTGTTGTGTGTGTCTGTTTAAAATTATATTTTTCTTTATATATTTTTTTTAAATATGTTTTTAGTAATATTTGTCATTAGTTTTACCAAAAATAACTTGATTAAATTGTATTTAAAATAACATTTCCAAAGAAATAAATCCTTTGAATCTGCCTATTCAGTTTCTGTTTGAATGTGAAGGGTTAAATGAAAGAAGCTCCTCTCTGCGAGTCTGTGAAGACAGGAGCTGATTGGACGTCCAGCTATGAATTCACAGAGGGCCCAGCTATAGTAACTGAACGAGAGAGTAATGTCAAATGACAGTACAATTGACCAATCATATCTTCCCTCTAAATGGGTGGGCTTTATTATCGCGGACTTTATGACAAGTTCCGCCCGCTGTGAAACGTTTCTTGTTTCCATAGCAACAACAACTGTCAACAGCGTAAACTCGCCTTCAAAATAAAAGCATGCCAAATTACACTTAAGACATACAACTGCAACGAAAGTAACAAACACAATGCAATATCCTTTTCAATTTCAAAAAACACAAATTGGGTTATCTACAGGTGTTGTTTTGTGTGGTAGAGGGTCGCTTTCATTGATGCGTTTTGCACCCCGGGCCGTTGTTTTGATATTCCACCAGTGTGGAAAAAAAAAAAAGTTTATATTTTTTAAAAAAAGAAGAAATTCGCGACCCACCAATCACACCCCACACTTTGAGAAACGCTGCACTAGAGGCTGATCCCAAAACACTCTACAAGATTCAGCACAACCTATTTTCCCCTAATTATCCCTAACAAGCCATACAGACTTGCGTTTCGTCCCATTTGTTTTTATCATTGCAGTATAACTCAAAAACTACAAAAGTGATATCAATAGAATTTCGTGAGAATTTCATCATAGCCCAAAGAAGAACGGATTAGCTTCTGATGTGAATAGAGCAACACTAAACCCATTAATAAAGCACTTTAAATGTTGCTCATTGATTCTGGAAATCAAGGCATTCAAGTAGCTATTCAGTCCAATGCCTGGGTTGTTATTCATCCATGGATTTAATTATTTTCCAACATACCTGACTGTCCATCATAATCATGTATTATGTATTTGTTGAAGATCCAAATGCATTTCTTAAATGTTCTTAGTAAAAAGTTACACAATAAAAATACGTGAGTGCATAGTTAGATCTAGGGCTGTCACATTATCAAAAAGGGAAGTTTAACGTTTTTTAAGTTATTTATTAACTTAATTTGCATTTCAAAACACCAGTGGCGAGCCGTCAGGGCCCTCTAGGCCCTCTGGGAGTGCCTAAGATATTCTAAAAAATAATATTTGAAAGCATTAAAAAAAAACATTAAAAAAAATATATATTATTTGTTTTATATATTTTTTGTTAAATTTTTCATTAGTTTTACCAAAATAACTTGATTTAATTGTATTTAAAATAACATTTCCAAATAAATAAATCCTTCGAATCTGCCTGTTCAGTTTATGTTGGAATGTGAAGGGTTAAATGCCGTCTCTGCGAGTTACTGTGAAGACGGGAGAGCTCGTTGGTCCCTCTGTACATTCACAGAGGGCCAGCTATAGTAACTCAACGAGAGAGTAATGTCAAATGACAGTACAATTGACCAATCATATATTCCCCCTAAATGGGCGGGCTTTATTTTCGCGGACTTTATGACAAGTTCCGCCCGCTGTGAGGTCTATGCAAGTGGTGCAGTGACGCGTCCTAAAAGCCGGAAGTAAACTGCGCTCGGATTCCCTCCCTCGACAGAAAGCATCGGGATTTCTCCATAGGGTTTTGGAAAATAGCTTGAAATAAGGTCTGTGGAAAACGAACCTGTTAGATAAATGCACGTTTTGTTCAGCCGGATAATATCCACATGTCTACCCTACTTTTATTATTTTCGAATCATAAATCTAAACGATAGATTTATGATCGATAGATTTATGATTAGCATAAATTCGTTCATGATGGCTCACTTCAATGATAGTGATGACATCGTTTGCAAAATTATTAACCGAGTCATTTTCAAGATTGAGTTACAATGATAAACTGGAGTGGCAAAGGATCAGCTGAATGACCCCGCCATGAAGTGCTTCATCCAAAAGGACAGGAGGATGGACTTTGTGTTTAAGTGATTTGATCATCAAAGGTATGCCTAAGTCATTTTCAATGTGGGCCGCCGTGCCGACTTAATTCATTTGTAATTGTTACTTGGCTGTGGGTGCGTTTTGCACCCTGGGCCGCTGTTTTGATATTCCGCTGAAGTATATGCTGTGACGTAATAACTCTTCTTTTTTTCGAGGGAAGGGGGGGTCAGAGGGCCTAGGTATAAAAGTCACGGCTCGCCACTGCAAAACACCCTCTCTTGGTCCACCAGGAGAACTTGAACAAAAAGCCAATCTAAAAGGGACAGTCCTACTATGTGCCTATAACAAAAGGACTTTATGTAGATATTGACATATAAATGTTTCTTCATCATATTACTCTCCAGGCTTCAATATGTTTTTCATAGTCAAATAAATCTTAAACTGAACCAGAAAATAAAAATAGGACTAATGAACCAGAGCATGTGCTGGTGCAGGTGTGTAAAGAGGTTAAAGGGTCAAATGACAGCGTGTCTGTTTTGTACTTACTTGTGTGCGTAACCGTCTGAGGTGGTGGTGAGGTTGACCTGCATGACCACCTGGAACTCGCTCTCGTTGCAGCAGTATTTGAAGGCGGTGTTGTTGTGGTAGCAGCAGAACATGTAGGTCTTGTTATTGTCTGAGAGGCGTGGGCAGTGAAAGCCGAAGTGGTAACGCCCCTTGTTGTCGGAGTACGGTTCACACACTCGGTAATGAGCTGAGAGCGCTGTGGATTTGTGAAAGGACAAACAATAAGATGTTAAATAAAAAAACAGACAGGAAGTATTTCAGTACGTCAGGAAACAAAAACACAATCACACGTTGAAATTGACTCATGACCTTTTAAGTGTTTCCCTCCCTTCCCTGAAAAAATGACAACCCTTTATTTGAATTATTGATGAAAAACGGCTCCCTTTTCAAACTGCAGCGGCGAAACTAGAAAGTACTGAATGCTTTTCTTCAGCCTCAGAGAAGATGTGACTTGAATGCTATAATAAAAGTGTAGGATTAGAAACAGAAAATCACATTGTAATTGCAGGAATAATCAGATAGGAGTTGTAGCCTTAAGCACCCAGAACCTGATAAAAAGATCCATCATCTGTTTTATTAAAGGAACACAGCAACTCAAAAACATTGAGTAAATATGATCCATTAGGTTATGATGCAAACATGCCTCTGGATGGATTCTCTTCAGACCAGTTTCAGAATGTTCTACATCAGAAGAATAGTAGATCTAAGTTTATTGTGAAGGAATCCACAGATATGCGGTACAAATAATACTCCTTTAAATTCATTTTTAGCTGTGCATTCAAGTGCCTGCAGCTTAAGAAGAGAAGAACATCTAAGCATCCTTGCTGCCTCAGAGGGAAAAATAACAATATTGTTTTTGATATAAAGTCTGGCAACCAATAATGCAAAATGAAATCAACAATCTACGTTAGCAGCAGTTGAGACTCCATCTGATGAAAATAAATGACCAATCTGACCAAAGAAATGAACCAGATATGATTAGTGTCAGTTTACGGGGCTGATGATAGTAAATGCACATCACAGTGGAACCGGAAGTACTCACAAGCCTTCGAAAACAATCAGTATCAGCATTTGTTTGTATACTCTTACTCTATATTACTAATAATAAGATCAAGATTGAATGCTCCAGCCCCTGTAAGCAGCGTAGTTTAATATAAAATCTGCTGGTTAGTTATTTTATTTTATTTACTTTTGATTTAATCAGTCGGGTTTTTCTTTTTCATCCTGGCGAAGATAAGGAACAATAAGAGGGAAATATGAACAGCAATAAAAAACAGACAGGCTTAACACAAAATATACCACAAATCAGAAATAGAAAACTTTAAAACTTAAATAGCATCTAAAACAAGCTAACAGTTGTTTTAAACCTTTAAAACAAAGACCAAGAATTGAATGACACTTGTACATCCAGATCCTAAATTACTCCTTAACATTGGGAGCCAGAAATGTAAACAACATATGCTTCGAAGGACAATTTTAAAGTGGACCTATTATGCTATATTGGAAACATATATTGTAGGGCCATACCTATACAAAACATGTCTGTGAAGTTTTTTGCTTAAAATACCAAACAGATCACCCATTGTAGCCATGCCTCATACTGCTCAAACCCCTCTTTTGCAGCCCTGTTATACCTCATTCACACCAACGGTGTTTCAGGGCCGGTTCGGCGCTGGAGCTTGAAAAGCACCAGGTTTTCCTGTTCACACCGCAGCGGAGCAGCCTCTTAGCTCCGGAATCTGGTTCGTTTCATACACCAAAATATTGTCCGGCCAGAGCAAAAGCACAGCACACGTCACGCTTACGTCGAGGCGGGGGCAGGGGCGGGATCAACTCCTGAACAACAACAAAAAGCTGCCGTTTTATCCAGTTTGTACACAACGATGGAGAAACTTAACAAGCAGCAGTGGTCCACTGAAGAGACCAGCTACCTGCTCGGAATCTGGTCTTACGAAGCGGTACAGAGGAAGCTGGAGCACAATCGGCCATTGTTGTTGGTGTCGGTGTCAGCTGTGAGGGGTTTCCGCTCGGTTTGGCTTTATGAAGCAGGCACGCAAACGGTTACGTCATGACGCAAACGGTTACGTCATGACGCAAACGGTTACGTCATGACTCTGGGCGGTGTGAAAAGAGCCGGAGCTAAACCGAAGAACCGGTTCTGAACCTGAAAAGCTCTAGCACGGAGCTTGAACCGGAGTTGCGTTGGTGTGAATGAGGTGAGAGAAACACGGATGTTGGGTTCTTAGCTTGAAAAAAAAAAAAAGAGGAGGCGGAGCTAATGCCTGATCAGAATTCTACCGGAAATAAAGTTAAATTCTGCTGTGATAAAACGCCATCCTGTTCTAAACCACATCAAGGATTATAGCTGAAACAGTATGGAGCTCAAATGCTTTTTCTCTCTCAGGTTTATCACAAGGTGAGTTCATTTTTTTATTTCCTGCTTTTTAATGTGCTCTACAGTACAGGGTAGCTCTGAGTGTTAGCGAGGTTTGCTAATGTAAACAAAGATGAGATTACGTTCTGATAGCAACTCTCTGTGGGTCCACCATCCGAAATTACGTCATATCGGCAGCAAATCTGTATCCGCTCGTTGTTTTTGGGTACGGAGGAAAAGAGAAAGGGTTTTATTTTCTGACGCTGCGTGAGTTCCCTGACACACCGGGGACACATTTATGTATAAAAGACATCAAAAAGTGCATTTTGCATGATAGGTCCCCTTTTAAAGTTAAAATAAACTCAACCTGACTGTGTAATGGTTACATTGCTATTAAATAACTGCACATATATATTTTTTTATTTCTTAGCTGCAAGAAATGTGAAACCCTGATTCAATTTCCGGGTGCGAAAGCTCAAGTCCTGCGATGATATATATGATAATTTTGCTTGATCATTCTCAGTCTAAACACAAATAAAATCAGTTTCCTGTGAAGTGCATCCAGATTAGTTTGACTGTCTTTATCGTTCGTGTTTCCTTTCATCAGGGCCGCCTAAAATCTGGCAGTAGAAGTGTTGTCGCTGTGATTTAGTTCAACGTCCACTCCTGCTGCGGGGTGATAGAAGTCTTTCAGCAATCTCAGACAGGGAGCGATCAGCATTTGAAAGGAGAGAGCTCTTTTAGATTATAATGAGCTCGGTGTGGCCAGCCATCTTCCCAGTGACAACCAGGAGCATTAGTGGGGGTGAAATGAGGAGGGCTGAAGGACACAGTAGGATTAAAAGTTAAAGGTGTTTTTTTATTGGGAGAAAACCCTTTATTTGACCCTTTGATTAGTGTACTATGCTTCTGCAATCAACCTGTGTTATTTATACCCGATAACTCCTTGCATGTGAAGGAGGGGTGAGCAGTTGGTCGGTATAAGCACTGGCATTAAGGAAACAGACGTGCTCAACATGGAAAGTGGACCATAAAGTCCTCTAATGACGCAAAACGTAAAGCTTTAAAAATAAAAGAGTTCAAGGAAAGTCTCTGGCTTCTCAAATGAACAACAGCTGCTGGAAACCATACAGTTGTAAACACATGCAACTGCTTAATTTCATTAACACCTTTAGGATACAGTTAACAACGTAGCTTGGCTGTGGCTCGCTCTCCACCACTCGGATAAAAACATCTGAACACTAGTCGCTGCCTACACATGAAGTTTATTACGACTTCACTCACACTAAGAAATGTTTTTCTTCTAAAACACACTGCATGCCATCAGCGTACCAATAGGACAACAGAGTGTTCAATCAATCAACCTATCAATCAACAAATCAAAAATCCTGCTGATTCTAGCTTCTCTATTGTGATATGCTTTTATTCTTTCTTTTATATTATTGTCAATTGAATATATTCAAGTTGTTATTAATGTCGGTCAAACCAAACTTGATTATGTAACTTTCTGACTTTTTCACATATTTCAATATTTACGTTATGGTTTTTTAGGCGAATTCATCAACAAAACAGAAGAAATTACAATTGAATAGTGATTTGATTCAAATAAATAATGAATCTTAAATAAATCCACTTCTTAGTTAGAAGTTGGATGTACGGTCACGTTGCTGTATTAAATCATTGTGGTTTCTAATTTACAGTATTCATTGCAATGGCAGGGATTTTCTCTATTCCAGAGAAGATATAGTCAAACTTATTTTTCTGTGGTGTGGCAAGGGTGGAAATCCAGGTATAACACCCGTCTCTGTTGGCTGTCAAATGCATTTTTATGGTAAAGTTAAAACATGCGTGACTTTTCTTTTGATTAGCTCGTCATTAACAGCATTCCCTTTCTTACTTTGATGCTAATTCTCCTCCTGTTCGCTTTTGTGCCGATTTTTCCCCGCCATCCTTCCTCTTGTCACATTTTAACTGGAGTTGGCATCTTTTCCCTTGTGCATAATGTATGTTATCTGAGAGATATGTGTTGGCTGGGTTCTTTCTTTTCTATCTTTTGGGGTTATAATGTGCTCTCTTCACAGTTTTATGCAGCATGGCCTCATTTACACAGCACCTTGAGGTTTAGCGCTTTTCCTGCCAAGTACACTTTATATTTTGACAATAAATGTTTCTAAGTTAAAGGTAGGGTAGGTAATTTTGGAGAAACCAGCTCGAGTGCGCTAGAATTTGAAAGTACGCAGCCGAAAAAATCTGCCCCTTCCTTACAGAGCCCCTCGTCCAACACACACGAACGTGCACATGACCAATGAGGGCACGAGATAAGTTTGTGCACGAGATGGAAGGCTGACAGGCAGGTAGACCATCGGCCCGGATAAAATAACTGGTCGTGCTTTTTACAGCGCCACGGCTTCCAGAGATGAAATATTTGTATGTATTTATTGTCCAATAAAGAGCATTCCATGGAATATAACAAAGTGTTTCTGAAGTGAATGACCTACCCTACCTTTAAGTGTCTCTGACTTAACTTTAGGCCATCAGCTGTCAACTTCTATCTCCTACTAAAACTGTTTTATTTTAGGGTTGTTTTCTGTATTTAGTTCATGGCCCTGCTGGCTCACTCAGTAAAGGACTGTGACATTTTGGAGCATCCAACGTTTATAGAAGCTGCTTCGAGCATGCCTATATAATCTAAGAACACTCTAGTGTCTGGAGGCCCATGTAATAAAATAAATATGAGCTTTTGAAGGCCAGACAGATAAGCACACAGAAAACTTTACAGACCTGCAGTGGACAGCAGGAGGAAGATGACCGTCAGGACATTGAAGGACTGCCGGCTGGTGATAGTCATCTTCTCGTCCTCATGTGTGAAGAAGGGAGGGAGCAGAGGGGATGGATGGGGGGGCGGCTCTGCTTTAGCTGGGCGTGGGCATCCTTTGCTTGTCGACAGCTCCTCTCACATGGCTGCTGCTGCTGGGAGTCAGGACTCCTGATGGGAACAAGACAGAGAGAGGAAAGATGGAGACATTTGATTCAGACTTCTGGAAGTTCCTCCCCACTGTGTGGACAGCTTGTCTGGCAGAGAGCTCCCATCATGCCGTCTGAAATCTGTCCTCAGGTTTACAGAATATGTTGGCTTGGGCATTCATTTAAATTGAAAGTGGCACTCCAGCCAAAATCCCTATAGTGACATAGTAACATTTTCTTTTCTGTTTTTGACAGGAGGAATGTTTGCACTCTATGCTAGCATTTTAGATTTGGAAACGCATGTTGTAGATTTACAGTATTGTACTTATTGCTCATGTTATTCAAACAACCAATAACAACAATAATATTTAGTTTGATTGACAAGTCCATTACATTTGAGTATGTTATTTGGCATTTATAATCAGGTAGTAAGCATGCAAATCACCTTAATAGAGGATTCACTTTTCAATGATAAATCAATTATTAAATAATATTTACTTGTATTATTTTTTATTACGGATCACAAACTCATAAAAAGCATTACGGTTGGTTGCATCAGTAATTCTGCCTTTCTTCAAACTTTCCTGGAAGCACAAATAATGCTTACTGATGCATGTCAGCACTCCAACAATAGAGAACTAAGAGTATAATGAATATATTTCTCTTATTAATATTGAACTTTTATCTTGCTTTTTGATCAGTTTACCCTGTTGAGAAATAAGATTTAAAAAAAAGAATGATCTAATAGCCAGCAGATATTTTATTATATAACTACTTGGCAGTAAAGAAAATGCAATAAAAAGATGGCTTTCTCAGATAAATGTTTTTATAAACCAAATGAATAACAGAACTTGCTCCCTCAGCACAGTTCAGAGTGTTGATAGTAGAACTGCTGAAGAGCAGTTTGCCTGTAAATGATGCATCCTGGGAGTTTGTGAACTCATCTATCACTGTACAGTTAGATTTAAAGCTGTGTCACAGATATCCCTTCACTGTTGCTCAAATAGATTAATGGGGTGGCGTAACGTTGTGCTTAGCCACGCTTGTTCCTGTTCTTTGGTAATTATTCCTTTAATAGTACTGGAGGACATTGCACGTAAACGGTCCCTGCCCATGCATAAGTTAAGGGTGAAATCAATCATAATGTATTGCAAACTCCGTCAATTAACCATTTGAATTTAGCAGCGGCTTTACTTTAGTAAATTTGAGCATCACCTTGTTGTTGAATGTGACTTTGAAGCTCTTATCAGTGGCCCCACATGTGACAGAGGAACCCAGCAAGAGCCGAAAACAGGGACGATAATGGATGGTTTGTTTACATTTGAGGGTGGTTAAAATGCAAGACACCAAAGCTATCTGCACAAGCTTTATGCCAGGTCGTTCTGAAAAGGGTTGGAAAAATGCGTATTTGCTCCTTAAAGCCATACAATCTCCAATATTCATGACATGTATTCAATTTCACTTTAAGTACCAGAATCAGCTTGTGCAAATGACCCCAAGACCCCAGAGGGCTTTGGCTGTAAGTTTGTGCAAAGAAAGTGAAACCTTCTCTCTGCAGAAGCTGCATGCAATGTGTAACAAAACTCAAGTCCTGAATGATTGACGAGCCGACAGCAGCTGACAGCAGAAAGAAAACCACAAATATGGAGCAACAACGAGAAGTGTAGAGCTGCTATGGCAGACCACATCCAGTGTGATGTTGCATCACCTCTGTATCCGGTTTATCTTTTTCTCAAATGATTGCAAGTTGTTTTGGTGAAGAAAGTGCAGAGTATGGTACACAGAAATCTGAGGGGCAAGTTTTGTTTTGAGACACCACTTGAACCGCTGATCGTCATTCACCATGTCAGAATCCCAAAGTGATATCATTTGATAGAGCAGCTACCTTTTGAAGCTGTGATGATGTGGTTGGTATAATCAAGAGAGATGATGAAGGGGAATAAGTTAGTAGTACAACAAATGATAGAGGTTACCATAGAGCATAGTATAGTATATATAGTATATATACTATATATATATACTATGCTGCCAGTACAGAAAGCGGGCTGTCAAGAATGTGCAGAGAGAAGAAGCACTTAAGAATTTTCACAGCTTTCACATCACTGCACACCTGGCTAATCCATGCAGAACGCGGGCATAGCTGATTTCAGATTGTAGAGAAGGTTGGGTGATGCCTATACCTCTAAAAACTCTATGTGCGTAAATAATTGTTTTGTTCATAAAAAGACGATTGATCTGAAAAGGGCCTCATATACTGATCTGTGTACTTTAAGCCTTAGGATTCACCCCAAGTTACCAAACAGCCTTACAAAGATCTTGAAACATCACATGATCAAATGTGATGGTGCTTAGATCTACTTGGTATTACATATACACATATTGACTTGGAGCAAAACAATGGGATCCTACCTGACCCGATTGAACTGAATCTAGATGGGACCCTATTCCTATAGCCAGGGGGTTTCCCCTGAGAAGATATATATGTGTGTTCCCTCAGGGGCAGATGAAGACCCTAGCTGGCTAGAAACATGGTGTGTAGCCGCATGAATGTGAAATCAAGCATTACTTAAATATGTGGCTGTTTTAATTGTGCCTTCCTGGATAAACAAATGTTTTGTGGGAAAGTAAAGTTGTGTAAACACCTTGGAGATTCCCTTTGCCTGTCAGCTGCTGAGTAAGTTACTGTTGTTCTACGTGTTCGAGCTCCCTCGTGTTGCCCCGCTTTCTTACGTAATCCAAACAGCAGAGGCTGATGGTTGCACACGATCAAAGCAATACACAAAGCTGTACTGTATGGACAGAATGCGTATGTGAGCACAGCAGGCTGCCTCTGTTGGACTCTTTTAAAGCGTTTTGATCGGACAAGCTGTTCCCTCTTCAGGAAGCCAGGCAGCTGAGATCCCAGGAGACTTGTTAAAGTAGCATTTTTTTAATGTTTTTCCTCTCTTTTTACTTCTGGTGAGAGCTTGAGTGTAGTCTACTGTCAGTTGACAACATGTGCAGTTCGACGAGGGATTCCCATCTTCTCAAGACTCCGGTTTCTTTCTGCAGCTGTTGTCTTTTACAACACATTATTTGGTCACAGTCGCACCATTGTGACGTTACTGCCTGTGCTGTACTATCTGCAGTGCACAAGGGGAAAGGTTCACTTCATCACAGCTCTGCATTTGTTTGCAAAGAAGAAGTGGATGTGAAGGGTTTGTGTAATGAGCCTGATGGTAGTGAAGCAGAACATGTAAATACACAACATTGTACACAGTGCATCGCTCCATGGGACTGAAATGTACTGCGCCGCTGAACAGGCGTGCAACACAGATGGAGCTACTTGCTACCAACTAAAATATACATACAGACCATGACAACTCGGGGTTAGCCACTCTCAGAGTAAATGTAAAGGCTGTTACAGCATGAGAGGAAAAATGTACACATTCCTAGCAAACCAAAAGCACACAGAGCTTGTGTACATATAACTCTATTGTTGCCTGAGATAAGAAGGACTTATTAAGTGACCAATTACTACAGCTACCACTTTGAATCTAACAGCATTTTTTATCATGAACACGCCGCAGAAGACCACAATCTGTCAGATGTTTGATGAGGGAACGTGCACGGGAAGATTTGTGATTATTCTCAGATCACACAGTGATATGCGACGCCTCCTCATCTCATGAACCTCCTTGTCCGAGTCTTATCTTTGTTCAAACATTAACTTTAAAGTCACTAACATGTTATTGTGCTTTCTAGACATCATTATTTATTTATTCTGGCTGGCTAAGTCTTTCATTTAAGAAGCTTTCAAGTTTTTAAAGGCAGGATCTCAACATAAGAATTCTCCCTCCTGCTACAGCCTAACTTTATTTTTAGCTAAAACATTTAGGCCTGTCATTTTGAGTATACACCTTTTATCTCCTGTGTGGATGATAGTAGTTGGATATTTATGCACTCGCTCTGCCTCATTATTAGGTTTGTGTTTTCCTCAGAGCACACAAATACACTCTCTGTTGCTACGCTGGGTCTTAATCCGTGTTAATGTGTGTTATCAATCACCCTAAAACACACACGTTTGTGAGCATCGGGACTGAGGTGCAGTTTAGAGATGTGACTCCCACATCACTCGGGAAATGTGTCTGTGTCTGGCTGCATCTAATATCTGCTCCTGCTGATGGGCTCGCGTCCAAACAGCGATCAGTATTCTGCTGCCACGAGCCCCGTGCCTAATTGATGCTCCCTCCCATCATAATCAATTGGGTTTCATTCACTTCTGATGAAATTAGGGCTCCACTCAGCAGCCCAAATGGAGCTCCATTAGGGTACGAGCCCATGTTGGGAGATTCAGAGCTATGATCTAATGATCACCATTGGCACAGAGTTGAATTGTGTGCAGCGATATTGTCAATGAGTGGCAGCCTGAGGCCTGAACTGGATGGTTGTAGTGTCCGAGGTTTGTGTTGAGTTTGTCACAAGACCAAGTCATGTTAACAGAGCTTTGCATGGCTGTAAACCAGGGTCTCACCGTAACGGCCCGTCCACACAGCGGCGTGCGTTGAAGCTTCCAACGCTTCTGCCCATTCACTTTGAATGGGGTGACGTCACTTTTAGCCGAAATGCATTTTGGGAAGCGACGTGGAGCGTTGCTGGCGTAGCTGGCGTCAAAAGTTGAGCAATGTTTAACTTTTGACGCCTCGACGGAGGCGTCAGCCAATGAAATCCCGTTTATTCAAATCTGCCAGTACAATCGCATAGCCAATCAAACCGCGTGTATGCTGGGAGAGACTACGCAGGTCATTTCCTCATATTCAAACAAATTGAGGGGAAATTCATTGTAGCGGTAGTGAATCACCCGGTGCTGTATGATCAGTCTCTGTTCATCTACCGGGATACAAACCGGAGGAACCAGGCATGGAGGGAGGTGGCAGAGACAGTGGGTGAAACTGGTAGGTTTTCGCCTGTTTGGGGATTTTATATCCAGTTTACTTCGTTTTAACATTGCTATTGCTTTGTATGTCGGGGGCGGGAGATTCA